GGAGGGTGAAGCTGCCTATTGCATCTGTTCAAGTTTGTGGTGAGTCTGGGGGTGTTTGAACATCCACCCGTCCATCCATCCCACCAGCACTCACCAGTCCACTTCAGGGTGAGGAAAGCAGCATAGTCAGAGTAATGGCTGGATGACTTTGCAGCTGGGAATAAGGAGGAAAAATGGGGAGGGGGAATATGATGAAAAAAAGCAAGTCAAAACATTTGGCTATCAAGATCAAAATCAGCCCAACCTTAGGTCCATTGAGCCGTGTACCAGGCTCTGAGGGTAACCATGTGCACCTGATCACAGTCAGCTCCTCTTCCCAGATTACTCCATCCCATCTTTCCAGGTGTGAACACACACATTAAGATGTGGCGCGGGGTGCTGCATGCTCAGAGCACAACGCAGCGCTTTATCCACAGCCCATCCATCCTCATCCTCAACCCCAGCCCAAACCCCACTCTGCTGTCACTGGGGAACAGGCCGCAGCGAAGAGCAGAAGCCCCATTACTGGCTTGTCCTGGTTAGCAGAAAGGTGTGTGGTCCTCCCCAGGGCATTTTAAACACCCATGACACAAAAAGACCCATCAGAGCTTGTGAGCTCTTGAACGACTCTAAAGGGGTCCCACTCTACATGCACCCAACCTCCTTTTCCATCATCCAGTGTCCCCGGAGAGTCACTCCCTGGGAATTGTCCCTGCCCTGCTGGAATGGGGGAAGACGAGGGTTGGGCCAGTCAATTCTCACCAGCATTTTCCCCAGGGCAACAGTTAACTGAACATCTGCACCTTCTGAAGAAAACCAACCAACGTAAACTGAGCAACTCAAGTCAACACACATGCAACTTCCATCTTGCAAACTGGAAAAAAAAAAAAAGCATTTGTTAAAGCCTTTCCCCACTGCCCATGGAGACAAATCTCATTACCAAGTGCCCTCAGCCCCACTTGGCTTCTCACATTTGCTGCTCTGCTTGTCACCGTCCCATCCGTGCTCTGCCAGGAAAACACACCCAAGCCTTGGATGGGGATGGTCCAGTGCTAAGAGGACTCAGCAATATCTGGAATCCTCTGCACACGTGTGGCAGAGGGGCCCGAGCAGCCATTCCTGCACCGCCGGCACCGCTCGTGCGCCCTTCATGGTGGCACGTGGACGGGCATGTGCCAGCACGGACACACTGTACCAGTTTAGCAAGAAAACCCTCAAGTTCGTCACCATTTCACTGCCCAGATTTACTTGCTAGCAGGCGGATTAATTTGTCTGACAGGTCTGGGAGGGCTCCTCAAACACACCTTCCTGTGGGTCCCAGCTTGGCCTCCTCCCTGGGCTCACAGCCCCGGCCATTCACCCAAACTCGTTGCAAAGGAGACGCAGGGACAGTGTGATCGAGACAGACACTTCGATATTTATCTATTTAAAAACTGCTTAAAAGACTGGTCTGGCTGCAGGGCCCAGGGACCCCAATGCGGTGCCATACCCCATCGCCGTGCAGGAGCCCAGCAGCATGGGAGACTCATCCTCGTAGGCAGGTCCAGCTCCGACCACGGGTCCACACGAGCAGCCCCAGCCCATGGCAGGAACACGTTCTGAAGGCACAAGTGTCCATGTCCAAGTGCCACCAGTGCTGGTGATTGATAACGTACCACCGAGGAGAGAGCATGCACACGTGCTGTCAGCATGAGAAATTAGGAACTTGTTTGGGTCTCAGAATCTAATATAACATTCCCCAACACAAGAAGGACATGGAGCTGCTGGAGTGAGGCCAGAGGAGGCCATGAAGATGATCTGAGGGGTGGAGCACCTCTGCTCTGGAGACAGGCTGAGAGAGTTGGGGCTGTTCAGCCTGGAGAAGAGAAGGCTCCGGGGCGATCTGATAGCAGCCTTCCAGTACCTAAAGGGGCTACAAGAAAGCTGGAGAGGGACTTTGGACAAGGGCGTGTAGTGACAGGACACGGGGCAATGGCTTTGAACTGAAAGAGGGGAGATTTTGATTAGATCTAAGGAAAAAATTCTTCACTCTGAGGGTGGTGAGTGTCCTGGTTTTAGCTGGGACCGGGTTAGCTGGGACCGGGTTAGCTCTTCTTTTTAGCAGCTAGAAGAGCTCCGTGTTTTGGTTTCACTCAGAGGCTCGCTCTGAGAAGAATGCTGATAGCAAGCTGATGTTTGTGGTTGGACGTGAAACTCCGAGGGCTTTTCAGTGTGCCGGAGTGCAGAAGCACAGTGGGATAAAGGGGGAGCATAGCCGGGACAGGGGGACACGATTCACCTTGTGATTTAAGATGAAGGCCAACCTGGCCAATCAATATTCCATATCACGCAGCGCCATGCCCAGTATAACAGTGAGGGGCAGCCGGACAGACGGGCTTTGGCGCTTTGGCTCTTTCGCCGCTTTTGCTCTTTTGCGCTTGCTGCGCTTTCGCTCTATTGCTTTTTTTTTTCTCTCTCCCAGTACTCCCACCCTTGGAGTACTCTCTCTCTCTCTCTCTCTCTCCCTCTCTCTCTCTCTCCCCCTCTCTATTTCGGGGCCTCGCGTTCGTCCGGGA